CCCAATTTTCGGAAACTCCCATCTCTTTCTGTGAAGACCTCCGAAGTCCCACACCAAACGAAGCGCCCAGTCGGTTCGCAGGTTTAGGGTTTAGGGTTTAGGGTTTAGGGTTTTAGGGTTTAGGGTTTAGGGTTTAGGGTTTAGGGTTTAGGGTTTAGGGTTTAGGGTTTAGGGTTTAGGGTTTAGGTTTACCGCAACTCCGAAGCAGCGGATCCCTAGCCCACGCATCACTCATTGAGGCTGGACCTGGGGAGGAACCGCGCTCCTTGGCATCTAGAGATAGGTCCCAACCCTACTATGCCAACTATGCGCTAAGGAAGGTGTATTGGTAGTTTAGGCAGAGACCATACCCTAAACCCAAACCCTAAACCCTAAACCCTAAACCCTAAACCCTTAGCCTAAACCCTAATCCCTTGTAGGCCAAGGGGCTTCTAGCAACTTGCCGTAAGGGTTTGCACTTTCAAACTCAAAGCTCATGCGTGGAGCTGGAACCTTCGGATCACCTGTTTAGCTCCAAGCTCTGGGCCCTAACCCATAAACCCCGAACCCTGAACCCTAACCTTGAACCCTTTAGGTTTTTAGGGTTTAGGGTTTAGGGCCTTTTGAACCAAATTCTCTTCGGCTGTTATGAGATGCAAGTCCTCGTTCTATGGCCGGGTTGCCACGGAGTCACATCAACTTCAGCCGGGAGGGAGTGCCTTTGCTTCGCCCACTGGGGAACTTCAAAATTGTGGGTGGATATATGTGGTCTTACATTAAAAAAAATCGAACTTTTTTGGGGCCCTGGTCATAGAAGAAGAAAGACATTGCATAGAGACATCGCATCCCACAAAGGTGGGGAGAATAAGGTAAAGGAGGGACATGGAATCATATAGGTAGTTCTCTCAGAGTTCTCTAACCGCAGCACCCTTACAAAAGGGAACCTAAAAAGCGAACCTAATTTAGAGAACTTCCCATATTGTGGACCATTACTAAGGACCCGTGTCTTTGCCTGTTTAGTGGCTCTGTTGGGTACTCGGGACTGAGTATTGTCTAGTCTCGACCTTGATGTAGGCCTGAAGAAGCACTAAGCATCCTCATTTTAGAGACCACGTTTCCCAAATCCCTAAACCCTAAACCCTAAACCCCAAACCCTAAACCCTAAAGGCCACCGAAAGTCGACGCCCCATGTGCCATGAGGTATCCGATGGGACCATGCAGACACTGGCCGAGCTACTGGAGTCCTCAGAAGGCGCGATGAGAGGTGGGTTTAGAGGGTTTCGGTTTTAGGGATTTTCGATTTTAGGTTTCAGGGATTCTAGGTTTTAGGGTTTAAGGTTTAGGGGGATTTGAGGGCGCGCTGTCGCGCGGTTCAGTCTTTAGGGTATGGGTCCGGATTTGGGGGCATAGTTAGCAGGATCTGGGTTGCCGGGTTTAGGTGTGGTTGGGTGGAGGATTCAGGGTCAGGGTTTAGGGTTTAGGGCTTTTGGGGTTTAGGGGTGTGAGGTTTACGTAGTTTCTCGTGGCTCCACTTGCCTATCATATTGAAGCGCTATACCCTGGAAGTCAGAAACACTAGCCGCCATAACCTACTACTTCAGAGGGTCTGGGATTGCAGCTTTCACTGCGGACCGGCATGTTTGGATTTATCTTACAGGGTTTGAGGATCTAACTTTTTGCAAAGGTTCCTGACTAAGTATGCCGACGATGCCCACTGAAGACCCTAAACTCTAAACCCTAAACCCTAAACCCTAACCCTAAGGTTCTAGTCTCGAAGCTATCCGGTATGTACTAGAGGTCTGCAGGCCCCGGCCGATTTAGGGTTTAGGGTTTACAATACCTCTTGTGAGGTCAGCCTCTTGGTCACATGAAGCCGAGGCAAACTTCATCTTGAGGCTGTAGCGCCTGTAGGGTTTAGGGTTTTAGGGTTTAGGGTTTAGGGTTTAGGGTTTAGGGAGGGCTTGACCAGCTTTTTGCGTGTCTGCAGAGCTTTCACTTCGCCGACAGGGGCGCCCTTTCACTTTGGATACCTGCTTCTTGGCACCAATGATGCCCCTGGGCTGCAGCAGGTCCCGGGAAGAAAGAGCATGAACATAAAGTGTTGCAGGGTCCTTTGATGGCTAAACCGCAAGCCTAAAATGACCGTAAGACTACCCTATTCTGTGCAAACCGACCTTTCAAGTCACGACCGCAACCCCCTTCTCTGCACAAGCCTGAATCCCGAATCTTCCCCCCCACCTTCGGCACCATGACCTGTTACTTTCATGTTACAGTAACCCTCTCCTACCTAGCTGGTTTGCAGTACATTTTCATTGGAGAGCTGCGGCTCAGGTCCTACAGTCTGAAAGTATTCAAGTTGTTGTTTTATATGAGGTGACCGAAAATGGAACTAATGTAGAAGCCGAGAAGCCTGGATTGTAAGCTACTATTACTTTTCCCGATTAGGTCCAGGTTACATAGCACAAAAGTCTAAACGACCCCCCAACAAAACTTCTTTCCAACTATGAACGCCCTGATATTCTTGAACCCATGTAGATTTTTTGAAGGTGCCCTCAACCCTAAACCGTAAACCTTTTAAACCCCCAAACCCTAAACCCTGCATGCTTTCTGCTTTTATGGGGGGTTCTGGCGTGGAGGATTCGTTTCTTGGTTTGAAGCGGGTGTTATTTCAGGGGGTTTAGGGTTTAGGGGTGTAAGGTCTAAATGGTCTAAATAATTGCCAATATTATTTGGGGAGGTTCCTGGTTGATTATAAATATACTATCAAGGAGCCCAAAACCCTATTCTAATCATTAAGGCCCCTACATGAAGGGTTTTACGAATCCTTGACCAGTGGGTCCCTAGACGCGTTCCCGTAGGCACTTCGTTGAGGATTCTGTCGAAGGTTCCTACAAGAGTTCCTACGGTAGTATAGGGGCCTTAATAATTAGAATAGGGTTTTTGGGGCCCATGATACTACACTTATAATAAGGAACCCACCAAAACAGTATCAGTGATTATTTAGGCCTCTATATTAACCAGGGTTGAGGGTTTGGGTTTCCTGTTCAGACTTCGGCTGAAGACCTCATGATTTTCCGTAGAGAGATGGGGTCGGATGCTTTGTCTCCCTGCATCTCCACCTACCTACTTGTTGAGTAGGTTTTCCTTGTAAATTTGTTTCATATCATTACAGCAATACGTGTACAGAACTCAGGGTTCATTGATTAGAGCTGCACAAAATACCCAGCGGTTCATATGGTTCTAGTTGCCCGACTATGTTGTAAAGCAAGGTCTCCGATGCTGGCTTCCTGGCATTCTGCGCCGCGCTGCAGCCTGCACGGGGGAGGGTGGACTTTGTGAACCTCACCAGCAGCCTTCACTGCAGGAAGGGGGAGGGATGCACCAGATTTCGGGGGGCTCTTCTTGTGTGTTGAACTACTGTTGATGATATAAATCCTGCATTACCTTAAGGACCCTCAACTATGAGATTTATGGTATTTTCCTTACTATGGGTAATGCAGGATTTAGGGCATCAGCCGTATCCATTGGCAGTTTTTTCAGGGTAGATGCACCCAAAGACTAATACTAAAACCGTAGCAGGCCCTAAACCACCCACTCTTCAGGGTTTAGGGTTTAGGGTTAACCATGATCAGAGCGTGGATCTTTGGATGAATAAGAATAGGGTTTTAGGGTTGAGGGTTTAGGGGTTTCGGGTTTAGGGTTTAGGAGGCAATACAGGGTCGGAAGAACTGGTAATAGTATGGTATCCCCTTATAGTCCCTATATACCTGCACAAGAAAACCAAGGGCACTATTTTACCCGCTAGCTCCAGTTTTAGCTCCAGTGACGCAAAACATACATGTATAGAACAGTGACACTGTTGAGTCCTGTGGCGTTGTCATGACAATACGAAGCCTTCTTTAAACATTCATCTTGTTTTAAAGAAAGTTAGTGTTGTTAACAAACCATAGGTATGTCGAATAACATGTTATGTTGTAAAAAACAGTATTTTTGTTGAAAAGATCCGCTTCAAGCTGAGAAACTCAGGGGTTCGTCAGTCCCGAAGTTACTTCTTCAAAAGGAAATCCCCTGCTGCAAAAGATTGAACTTTTCGGTGCCGGGTCACTGAAGAGGAGCGAGAGAGAGAGAAAGAGTGAGAGAGAGAGAGAGAAGGAGAGAGAGAGAGAGAGAAAGAACAATTCCTGGTTTACTGTTGGGTTTTGGGTTTAGGGTTTAGGGTTTTAGGGCTCAGGGTGTATTCCTGGTTTACATGTCCTCTCCGAGCTCGTTTCCAGTTCGCGTTGATTTCAGGCAATCGATTGACGTCGGTGTCCTTGACCTGCATAGCAGCTGCGATGGAACGGTGGGGTCAAGCGGATGACATTGGGCTTCCGCTCTCCGGCCTGGACGTTACCTACAACGATGCCTCGGCGACTAGACTCAAGTGCTATACTCAAGCTCGGTATTAACTTTTGGGTAGTTCTTCTCCAAATTGGGGTCCCTTTTGGGGTCCTTTTCTAAGGGTGCCGTACTATTTGAGTGACCTAAAACGGAGACCCTAGTTTAGAGAGCTACCCATATCAAGGTCGAAGCTCCAGAGCTTTGCAGAACCCTTTTATTGTCACTCTTCACATGTAGGGGTCCCCAAAACAGGGTTCGTTCTTCTACAGTAACCCCCAAAAAGTTGGAAACCGTAATGACAATTAGTGCTGGGATTCCCTATGAATCACTTTTAATTGTTGAGGCTATTGGGTTTCCAACTTTGGGACCTCTACTGCAATCCACAGTTCACACCAAGTCGCGCCCTATCTGAGGGTCCGTCATGTTTCTACAAGCTCCTCTTTTTGGCTGAGTTGATTCAGCTTACGGGCCCATCTCAGATATGCTTCCATGTGCTGGCCCTGATCAAAATACCTCAGAACATGAGGGACTCCGCTGTAGTGCCATGGATAATACAGGGGCCCAAATGATTACCACTATTATTTTGGGGGTTCTTTCTGAGCGCTGAGGAACGAGTGAAGCATTCGGAAGTTTTTGGAAGAACACGCCAGTATGAGAGCAGATGGTTAGGGCTTCGGAAACCCTAAACCCTAAACCCCTAAACTCCTATACCCTAAACCCTAAACCCTAAACCCTAAACCCTAAACCCCTAAACCCTAAACCCCTATACCCTAAGCCCTAAAACCCTAAAACCCTACACCCTAAAACCCTAAAGCCCTAAAACCCTAAACCCTCAAAAGCCTAAGACAAATTCTGCTCGCTTCAAGAAGCTTCGCCTCTGCGCCGGTTGCCACGGCTTCGGCTGCGGCGGCTG